ATAAAATAAAAGCAATCTCTTATAAAACTATAACAAATCTTAGTCTCTCAGAGTGTTATGTGAGTCCCCCCCCTTTTTTTTTTTTTTTTTTTTTTACTAAGCTGTATCTCTAGGGCCTAGAACAGAGCTGAACAGGAGAAAGAGCTCATAAAGATACCCTATTCAAATGTCAGTATGATTAGAATAATGACCACAGGGATGCTTTAAACACTTGTTTTCAAGAAGAAATATACACTGCAGAACTCTGTGTATATATTTTTACAATGTCCATGCCCACTTTACTCTGCAATAGGAAAGTCTGTACCAAGTAGCAAAGGAAGACATCTTCTGAGGTTAATTTAAACTGTCCAACAGATTAAAATGACATAATGAGATAGAGAATGCTTCATCCCTGAACTGACTAAATGCAGAAGGTAGATATAGGGATATCATGTCCTTTAATATCTAAAAATATCTAAAAATATAGTTGTCCATAAACTGACAGTTATCTCAATGTGAAATTCAAAATTATTATGAAGCCAATTTATGAGTTAAGGATTAATAATTAAAAACTGATATTTATATATACAGTAGTCTCTCCTTATCCACACTTTTGCTTTTCATGGTTTCAGTTACACAGTCAACTGTGACCCAAAAATATTAAATGAAAAATTGCAGAAATAAATAATTATAAGTTTTAAATTGCATGCCATTCGGAGTAGCACATGAAATCTCCTGTGGTGCGCACCCTATCTTACCCGGGATGTGAATCATCCCTTTGCCCAGGGTATTTCCAATGTAGGTATGTTACCTGCCTGTTAGTCACTTAGTAGCCACCTCAGTTAGCAAATCAGTTGAGAGAGAGAGAGAGAGAGAGAGAGAGAGAGAGAGAGACACTACATTCACATAACTTTTATTACTGTGTATTGTTTTACTGTTCTATTTTATTACTTATCATTGTTAATTCTTACTGTGCCTAATTTATAAATTAAACTTTATCATAGGTATGTACGTAGGCAAAAACATAGTGTATATAGGGTCTGTACTATCTGAAGTTTCAGGCATCCACAGGGGGTCCTGGAAGGTATCCCCAGTGGATAAGTAAGGATTACTGTACAGCATGGGGAAATAGTAGGTTTACAGCTATTCATATAGAAAATAAAACAATAATTAATAACAATACTAGAATAAGATGTTTCCCACACTCACAATTGTAAACTTACTTTTGCCCTACCCTGTATTTATGCTTATTTAATACAGCTATGGGTTTTTGTCTTTTTCTTCATTTACAGTATGTATCTTAAATTATATACCTGATTTGTATTATTTTTACAGTGACAGAAGCTTGTACTGATTCGGGTTAATCATATCTCACCAGATCTATTTATTTCTCTGACAGGAACTAAAAGTCTCTTAGTAACAAAACAATTCCTGCCATCAGCCAAACTATAACAAATATGAAAGCACAGACCAAAGGGGAGGCACAGAAAACCACTGTACCTGCGGAAGAGAGAGCAGTGTGTCAGGGAGGCTGAATCGCAGGCAGAGAAACTGAGGACAGCTAAATGCAGACCGTGAAGAGAGAAGAGCAAGGTTTTGGAGATGAGAGATAACAGCCCCAAGTACAGTTTGTTTTAGTCAAAACGAAAGGAGACTTAATCAAGAAATTCTGAGGGACAGGAGGGAAATCTCGAGAGAATCCAGGCTGTGGAGCCTTATCTTTTCAATGAAATGGTATGTGCTAAGAATGTAAGAATGAAAGAGATGAAGAACAACCATAATAGAGAATGGAACAGAAGAGAATGAGAGATAAGTAGAATGATAGTGACAACTTTTCTTTACTGAGCATCAAAATGAAGCCATCTATACATGCCAGGCACTGGGGCTATGTGTGTATACATGTATGTATGTTTGTATGGCTGAATGTGTTGTATATACGTATATATGTATGCACACATACACCCATATGTATGTTCTTTGTTTGTATATCACAACAGCTCTGAGAAGTGTCATTATCCCTATTTTATGGATGGGAAAACTGAGGACCATAGAGTGACTTGCAAAAAGACAGAAACTGTGGTAAAGGCAAGATCCACACAGATCTTGGAGCTCCAACTTTTCTCCATATTTTGCTTGAGGTAGAATATACTTCTATGAGGGGAAAAAAAAGAAATTTCACACCCCTGAGCATACTATTAATCTTGTCAGACAAATATAAATATGTGTCCAAGTATCAAATTTTTTAGTAAGATTTTATAGTATTGGCTTCTGAGAGTTTGAAGGAACAAAACATATTGAAAATGGCATTGAGTGAACATCTAATCTGCTATATATGTCTATACATATCTCATATTTTTTAAACAAAAACATCGAGTCTTCTGGAGAAATATTCTAACTAAACCTCAATGTGTGTGACTCTAGTCCACCATCCACATATCCATATCCAACTACTGAGTTCAATCCATACCCACACTCTTCACCTAAGACTATTGTTTAAGACTTGAACTTAAGTAAAACACATTTCTCACCAAAACCTTAGATGGCTAGTCAGACATGTCTGTTGCAGTAAGCGGACTTGCAATAAATTGTGTCTGTTGCAACTTAACAATATAGTTGTGTTTTTAAAAGACTTTTTAAAGGATGAACATGTATGTGCTATTTAAGGTCAAATCTTCAAAATGGTTCCTCCTATAATGGCCGTGTCAGGCTTAAACAAGCTCTTTCCAGTAGCATCGGAACAACATAAAAAGCACACTCAAGTAATTCTAAATACTAGTCCTGATGAAACATCTCTCCGTTAGGATGAAGAGTATAGGTCCCACAAGAAGAGGCCACTAGCATAGGATGCAGGAATGGTGCTAGCAGTTCACTGGGTAGAATTCACATGAGGGTGAAAAGTGGGACTTTTACTGAGGCATTTCCCCAAAGAATCTGAAGCACTGTTTTAAACAGCCAGGCACAAAAGTCAGAGGTCTGTTCTGCCTGTGTTCTATATGCAAATGATCAACGCATCTTTCAAGGTATTTTCTTACAAGGCTGTTGCTCATAAGGCCCAGTTTATTTAGGCCAACAAAGGACCTTCAAAATTATAATCCTTACTCAGCAAATTGTTTAGAAGCTAAGGCACGACTGTGTGGTACGACTCCTTTGGGGAAGTCATTAATTCCCAAAGGCAAAAATTCAGCGTAACCAGCATTCATACTGTGACCTCAATTCACCTATAGTTAGATGTCAACTCAAGGTATCTTCTAATGAAGTAAAATGAGAACAAACTTTGAAAATCCAAAACAATTCTTCTTTTGTTAGCTAGCTATTCAACAATTCACTTCAAAACTAGGTATGTAATTTACACTCCAATAAAAGTCAATAAGGAGCTGTTATTATACTCAAACAAATTTACACACCTGAAAGGTTTGGGTTTTCTTTATTAAAACCTACAGGAAACCCCCTGGCAATGGGCAAGGAGACACCTGATTGGTGGTGTTGCTCTTATATCAATCAGGGGCAAAGCAGATGTACAGTCCTTAGTTCATCCTAGCTTGATGCCTATGTCGGTGGCCAGGGCTGTTCATGCCTGAGGCACACACACAAAAGCAAACAAACAAAAACCTACAGGCAAAGTAAGTAAAGGCAAGAGTAATATGAATATGGCTCTTAAGCAGCAAATATCTGAGATTGGGGGTCAATTACATCCTGCTATTCTCACTGAAGGGAGGATTTGTGTTTACAGGTATTTTCAGTGCTGCAGAGAGAGAGGCCCAGCTATCATTCATCTGGAGTTAAGCACCTTTAGTTGATCTAGAATCATCAAACATTTTGCAAAAGAGTATCTTATTGTAAACAAAAAAACTTGTTCATTGATACATCCTAAATACGTACAAAATAAATAAGCATGAATGAAATGAAAAGGATATTCATGAGGAAATTTTTCAGTCTTGTCAAAATAATTGAAATTGTGTGTGCATGAGACAGCGAGGTTATAAATAATGGTTGAAGATTAAAAACTTAATAAGTTTAAGGTGTCTACAGTGCTAGTAAAGAGATTGCAGTTAGCTGAGTTGACACTAAAGAATATATAAATAGAAACATAATTAGTATTATTTCATCTATCTATATCTACCTATCTATCTATCTGATCTATCTAAAATACTAAAATTCTGGGCTTCTCTTCCTTGCTCAAAGTCCAATTCCTCTTAAAACTAAATTCCAACTCAACACTTTTTTGAGCTTCCCAGATCCTTTCCCCATTCTTCAGTTCTCTCAAGAGTTAATATCCCCAAAGACCATTAGAAAGTAATAAACTCCACCTCCCCTTCCCATCTCCCTTGATGTGACTAATACCTACTCACGTTTCTGACCCCAGCTCAGAGGTAAATATCCTCTGGAAAATCTCCCTTTTTCCCTGCTCACTATTTTACTCCATGAACTTAGCACAATAGTTTGGCACGTGTTTGTTAGTTGACTGAATGTGTTACACGGATTCTACCTCAACCAAAACTATGTTAACAGCCTCACTGGTGTCTTGCATCTACCTTCAGAACTTTCAATCTGTCTTCCAAAATGCTGTCAAGTGATCAAACTTAAAATGAATCATGTACCTCCAGTTTGAAAGCACATCCATTAATGGATCATGGAATAGCGCAGAAAGTAAAACTCTGTAGCACGGCCCGCAAGGGCATCCATAACATAATCTTTAAGGATTTCTTCAGTTTTATTTTCAGACATCTTTCCCATCTCCTGTATCCTATTCCCCCTTCCCAAATGGGTATGGTTTCCTCAAACTTAAGAGGATATTTCAGCCCTAGTCGATTTGGCTCACTGGACAGAGCGTTGGCCTGCAGACTGAAGGATTCTGGGTTCGATTCTGGTCAAGGGCATATGTCTGAGCTGTGGGTTCGATCCCCAGTAGGGGATGTCCAAGAGGCAGCCAATCAATCATTCTCTCTCTCATCATTGATGTTTCTATTTCTCCCTTCCTCTCTGAAATCAGTAAATATATATACATATATGGATATTTCAAGCCTCAGTGCTTTCTCATATTGTTCCCTTCTCAAGCAATATTCTACTCTTCACATCTACTTTTATATATCTGGATTTAACTCAAGTGACACCTGTTTATAAAATATTTCCTAACTCATCAGCATCCACTCTTTTCCCTGTGTTCTCACTGCAAATAGTGCATATTTTTATGATATTTGAATATGCTTATTCATTCACATCTATCTCACTCTCCATGTTTTCAATAACAGTTGGATGAATAAATATGTTAACTGGATTTTTTGGTGTTTCTTACAACTCTGTAAAATGTGAACAAATACCTTGCAATCAAAATATTCAAAAAATTTGCAGAATTAGAGGAATTACACAAATGAAAGATCAACAATCCTTATAATTTCTAAGTTAACAAATATCTTTGGTTGTAATATACAAGTATAATCTTAGATTATCCATTTGTAGAAAAAAAGTTTTAAAAGGCATTATTCAGGTAAATAACAGATACTCAAATAACAAATATTTGCATACTTAGGTACTATATTCATTGTTAACATTTCAATAATCTCAGAAACAAAATATGAATGTCCTAATATGTATACAGAAATAAGTATGCATTTAATTCTCTTTAAAAATCAGAATAATCAGTAAAATTTATACATGAGATTTTCCTTGATCCCTAAGATATAAGGGCTGCCTTCAAGTCACTCTTGGTTTTTTTTGATGACACTAATCCCATAGGTGATTTATTTACACGAATGTCTTTCACTATCACCATCTGTGTATAAGAGCTGATCTGATCATATAAAATCCAAGTGAAGGCACCCTGAATGTATTAGTAAAACAGAAGATGGCTGCACAGCACAACACCGAGCCTACCTTTCTGCATCAGAAGCAATGCCTTTCCTAGTCTGTTTTTGGATGCTAGATCTTTCAGATTTTCTGGAGTGCCTGTGGAATGAAGTGTTAAAGAAACACAAAATATATGATGAATAAAGCTGCGGTAATATCATACAATGATAAAAGTAACAGGCATGAAAAATGGCAACCATCTTATCTAATGGTTTTGTTAGTCAGTACTTTTTAAAATAAAATAAAAATCAGAACTTGTGCTGTGTGGAAGACACAAATTGTCCAACAGGAGACAACAAGCTGACATTCCATTAGTCTAGATGGGCAAGTCAACAGTAATGACTTAACAGGGACTCCCGCTGGGCAACTGTGCCTCTCCTAATGAGTAAACAAATCCAATGGTGGGTGCAGTGATGACAGATGTGATGTGAGGACAGCAATGGTTTAAGTGCTAAAAGACCACAAAGGGGTGAAGTGACTTCATTTTACAAGTTGAAACTTGGTGTTACAAAGATGTTTCCTTTGTGTTTTTTTTCTCCCACAGAATTATGAAGAGAAGAAATGCTATAGTGAAATGTCTAACATAAGTAAGAGTATTTTAAATTAACTATTAAAATGATCATAAAGATGCCTTTGCAATTACATATAGCTTTTTTTGCAATTATATAGCATTTTAAAAAGCCAATCACATCACAAATCAAAGAACTAATAATGTTCCCAATTTACTCCATGACCCAAAAGTACGTATGTATACTGAACATCTGGGACTCCAAATGCATTTTCCCAAAGAAATAATGTTTATATTATAAAGCTTATCTCCCTAAGGCAGCTTACATATGCCTACTTAACCTAAAATGTGTCTGGACTGCAATATATTTGAAATAAATATAAAATATCATGGTGAAGAAACTCATACAAAAAAAAAAAAGAAAAAAGAAACCATTAAATAAAAGTGTATTTTTTCCTCAATCATTGATTGCCTATGATTTATGCTTATTTTTCTTTCCCAATATTACTTCCTTTCAAAAAATGTTAAGGAGGGGCAACTGCTTGTCTTTTTTAAAAATATAATTGACATGTAACATTATATTAGCTTAGGTGTACAACAACTGATTTGATATTTGCATATATTGCAAAATGATCACCACAATAGGTCCAGTCAACATCCATCAACACACAAAGTTACAATTTTTTTTCCTGTGAAGAGAACTTTCAAGATCTACTCTCTTCCCTTTACTCTGCTTACTTATTAATGCCAGATATCCTCAGTGTTTAATATATATTATGCCAAGCCCTGTTAGGCACTAGGGACACATATCAAAGTGCAAAGTCTGCCTTCACAGGGTGCAGAGACCTCTGGGCCTGCTAATTTCTTCCAACTGGCATTTTATTGGTAGAAGACAAGCAAGCAACAACAACAAAACCCCTCAAACTAGTAATCTATATAGTCTGTTCGAAGATCATATATGCTGAAACAACAAAAAGTGAACCAGGGCCAGAAGGGTCAGGAATGTGTGTGGGAAGTGAGTGGGGGCAGCTGCAAATCACAACTTTACTAGTAAGGAGGGTGCTCAGGGAAGGACTCACTGAGTTGGTGGCATTTTTAACAAAGACATAAGGTGAGGGAGTCAGCCATGTATATATCCAGGGAAAACATGTCCCAGGCAAAGGTAGCATCGAGTACACAGGCCCAAAGTCAGTTGTGTGCCTGGCATGTTCACGCCACAGTAAGGAGGCCAGAAAGGAAAGTGTTAAAAGAGGAGCATCAGATGACAATAGTCTGGGGTGTGGGGAGCAAGGGATGTAGAGAATCTGGTAGCCATTGTACAAACTTTCTAACACTGCCCAACAAAACACTTACAGGCATATTTTAGAACTTGTTTGCTTTTCCTCCCACCCCTAGTGATCTCTACGAATTTTTCTAGACTCGGTGAGAGTTTACTTCCTCTGTAAAACTCTCAACTCTTCCTCTTCTCATCTCCTAAAACTTAATGATTCATATATTAGATTGATCATCACAGGAATTGATGATGCTGATGGCAACGATGCTGATGGCTCTAATATCTAACACTTGCTGCATGTTAGCATGATCAGTGTACCTGCATGTCTCATCTAATCACACCAATCCAGCCAGATAGGTACTACTTTTTATCCTTTTTTTTTTTCTTTTAAGAATAGGAGATTGAGGCTGAGAGAGGTTAAATAATTTGCTCTAACCCACATAGCTATTCCATGTCAAACCATGAAATGAACTGGGTCCGTAATAATACTATCAGTAAGCACATTTCATCTGTGACATAAACAACACTGGAACGTAGTAACTAAAAGCTTTGATGCTGGGTCAGACTGTCTCAGTTTAATCCCAGTGCTATCTCTGTCTAGCGGGTAATTTTAGTCAAGTTACTTAAACCTCTCTATTACTGTTTTTCCCCACTGCAAAGTGGCAATAATAATACTACCACCTCACGGGTTTGCTAATTTTAAACATATCAATATTGTGTGGTATTTGTATTTCAATAATGATAGTTTCGTACTATGATGTAGAACAAGGATTTGTGGTAGTGATAGCACTGCTTAGAACAGCAAGGAGTAAGTGCTTTAAACATATTAAATCAAAGTCAATGCTTCATAACTGGGTGATAAATATTCATACAGAAGTTCATACATCTAACTTTTTAATTGTTTTCATTTTTAACCCTCTTATCCTTTTTAAAAAATCTGCAAATGCCACAGAAACTTATTTTATTGAATATTCTTCTAAAATTTTCTACAAAGGATATGTCTTTATAATTCTTCTAACTACTTGGAAGAATCTTCAAATTGAGTGAAAATGATATACACTTAATTGTGATAATTCAGTAAAAAGTGAGAATAGAGGAAAAAAATTAAAAATTCTAATGTATTTTCTATCCTGAATCCTAAGTTATACCTGAGAATATATTGTATGCTTGAAACACAGCTCTTTCTAGAGATAAATAAAAGCTTGTGCTATGTAAATGAGGAAAGGTTAGGAAAAAATCAACCTATATTTATGTATTATAGTATTGAAACTATTCATGTAATCATAAAATACATCACAGTGAAATAAACTACCTCCTACCTTAAACTAGTCCTTCTAAGTTCCTTGTGGTTAGGAACTGTGTCTGGTTATTATTGTAACATCAATACTGAGCACGTATAAGCTTGTGCTATGTAAATGAGGAAAGGTTAGGAAAAAATCAACCTATATTTATGTATTATAGTATTGAAACTATTCATGTAATCATAAAATACATCACAGTGAAATAAACTACCTCCTACCTTAAACTAGTCCTTCTAAGTTCCTTGTGGTTAGGAACTGTGTCTGGTTATTATTGTAACATCAATACCGAGCACATAGTAGCTGCTTAACAACTATTTGTTGAGTGGATGGTTAAAAACAGTAATATTTTGAGTACTATACTAGAATTTGAGAGTCTAAAAAGTTAAAATAAGTTAAAAAAAAACACCCTAACTAGGCTATAAAACTCAGTTTACATCAAATAAATTTTGAAATAAAACTTTGCACTGTTTACTGAGCTTCAATGTATTATAAAATACCACAAATAAGAACTGCTCTCTGGTTACTGCCTTATGCATAATGAAGTGTCGGCCATTATTCCTGGACCAATGTATGTTTCTCATGATTCAACAAGGAACATAGGATCAATTTTATAGTCTAACTAGTGTCTTAATTAGACTTGAGCGAGTCCCTCTGCAAGTATCTAAGTTTACAGAAGAGAAAACTAAGCCCTAGAAAGTTTAAGGTAATTAGTTGGTGAGGACACTACCATCATATCCCCATGTTCTTAGGTTCTCTGCCCACTCTACCATCCAGTGACTTTGAATTATTTAATGTTTACTGAAGGAATCCCTGAACAGAAGTGAATGAAACAGAGTTATACTGTTTCCATCATATTTTCTTATTTTGAGTTTTATCATGCTTTTGTTCTATTAAAATTTTTTATCATTTAATATCATTTATCTTTTTTATCATTCAAGACATTTAATTTTAAATGTATTAAAATACATTTTTTCTAACTCGCTACTCACAAATTGTGGTTAATCCGAAGCCACAAGTATAATGACATTTTATTATGATTCATAAAGTTATTTACAGACAGAAGTTACAACTCATATATTAAAATAGTATCATTTACAAAAAGATACGTTGTCATTGGAATGATATTCTTAAAAGTCTCAACATTTTTAGTAACAAAGCTGCAAGAAAATTTTCACTCCATTTTTAAAGTCAGAACATTCCCTGAGGCTACAAATTTCTATTTTTTTCTCATTATTATTGTAAGTATTCTATAACTTTAAGAAATTATTCCTATATTTAGATAAAAATACTTCCCTGTTAATTCAAAACAAATTTATTGAACAACTTCAGATGACATCAAGATTGGTTACTGGTGAAATTCAATTACTGAGAAATTACAAATTGTGAGTGTTTGCATACGATGAGAAATAAGAGGTCAACTAAATGCTTTCCAATTTACTAGAAAACTCTCTTAAGCAAAAGTTTACTTTTAAAAATTATCTATTATTTTCAAAATTATCAATAATGGCCCCAATTCAGTATATCCAAAGACTGATTATATGAGTTGTCACTGATTTTAGAATATTTTCCAGCTACCCAGGACAAAAGTCATCTTATCTATATTCACTATCTTCAAATATGATGCCATGTTCACTTCATTTGCAAAATGGTAGAAACTTCTGAATGAGTAAATAAACTGATAAGAGGTGAAATGCAAGTGTTAAGTTTTCCAAGTGGCTGACATAGTTACCCTCATAATTTAGCATTTGTTGATGAAATAATTTCTCATTTTTATGGTCACATGAATTCTATAATAAAAACTTATTGCAAATAATTTTCTGTTCCCTACAGTAATAAATAATAGTATCAAGGTATTTGAAATATACTTTTGTCGAACAAAGAATTTCTCCATAAAAAAGTCATAATAAAAGTGGAAAGTATATATATTCATAATTATGTATTAGTAAGAATTCCCTTTATAATCTTACCTAAAAGGGATATTTCTGAACCTAAAATCTATCCTTAAAGTTATATATGCAATCTATGAAATAAATAACATGATTGATAATTGATATGTCTTTAAATGATAACTAATTTTCATGTATGTAAGAACTAAAAACTATTATTTGGATTTCCATTGTGCTCAAACAAAGCCCAGATAAACTTACATTTATGTTCATTACAAAAACTATCATATTTAATTGTCCTGTACTCAAACAGTGATTATTATATAAGATTAAATCCTCTGACTCACTTGTTTTGGAATAATTAAAAGGCTTCCCAGAATTTCTTTTTAAAAAATGAAATTGTAAGTTTCTAGATGGCTTTTTATAAAATGAAATTGTAAGTTCCTTGATGGCCAGGACCTTGGCTTTTAACACTGTTATGGCTTTAGCCATTAGAATAGTGCACACAGTAGGGGCACGTTGAGTACTTGTTAAATGAGTGAGTAGCAATGTGGATATAAATTTTTATTTGATTTATACAATTATTTTATATTCTTATTTGAAAGACTTTAAATTTGTAATACTTTTAAATGAAAGATTTCACTAATTTTTCTAGTCCCAGAAATTTTATCCTATAAATCAGATAGCAGCAGGAGAAATAACTTTTAAATACAAATTATATAAATATAAGCAATAGTAAGAAAGGATAAAATATCTCGAAAGCCTTCATAAAATAGCAGTTTGTGATCTTTTCTAACATTTGTAAAATGACTTATTAATTTGTTCTGACAGTGTTTAATGTTTCTTTCAAGTTGAAATCCTGAAGATATATGTACTATGGATACATAAAATAAATGATATTATTCTTTAATAAGGTCACAATTACTCTGCTCTATACACACATACTTAAAAAAAAAGAAATTGGTACACTGGCATGACTAGTTGTTCTAATTCTGAGATACCATATATACTATCTATTTAATGAAAATCACCAATGTGTTAATTGAATTTCTGCTTACACCAAAAGAGAAGTATCCAAAACACCCAATAACCCTTTGTGACTTGGTCAGAAAAGATATTTAAAGATAAGAACTATATTAAAATATAACAAGCACCATAAAACAAGAGAACTCAGTTAACTACAATTGAGGATAACAAACCAATAAAAAATATATATTGCAGCACTTCTGATATATCAGAATGAAGTGGATTCAAAGCACGGATGCTATTTTTAAAAAAAACTACTTTGTGGACTGACCCTAGCCGTTGCAGTATTGGGTGTAAAAACACAGTATTATATATAAGGACGAGGTGTTCCACGCTAAATCAGATATTTTTAAATATACCCCAAAGCCTGTATCTTATTAACAACAAGCTTATGTAGTAACAAAACAAGACAAGTGAGACTACACCATCAATCAGTATAACAAAGAATAGGTCCGGACAGATTTTTAACATATTTTAAAGCACCTGAGAATTTTTATTTATTTACATGTAAACAAAACAATAGTTAAATATGTTTTTAGAAATCAAAAACTACGAAATAAATGTTCATCCTTAAAACAGAACTCTTCCACTGGAATCAACTTTGTGTGTTTGCACACTGCCATTCATCTCAGGGCATGCTACCCTCGTTGCACTAATTCTGAGGTGCTTTATTAAAGCTGGATGCATTTATTGACGGAATCACAGTACATCTGGCTCTTGCCCCTGAAAGGAAGCATGTCATAACCAACATTGCTCTCGGTTACCCTTCACTTTGTGGCCTACTAGCCTTTTGAAGCCACTTGTCTGTGAGGAGGAGTTGACTAGTACCTGTCATTCTCCGGAGAAGCATGCTGGATTTGAATCCTGGGACTAGGAGGTCGTCTCCTATCTAGGGAGGGGGACCATCTACCCCTGTTTGCCCAATGAACAAGACAGGAAAAAACAGGACATTTAGTAACTCCTAAAACAAAAGAACATATGGAACAGTGGGACTGGAAAAACACCCCAAAAAGGCAAAGTGTAGATTCTTTGCTCCATAATTTATTCTTCACCTTTACAAACCTTGGAAAGACAAATTGCAATATAATATTATAAGAAAATAAGATCTGAAAACTTTTTAAGTGAATAAAAAAACAATTTATTTGTGAAGGTATTTGAAATCTATTGAATGTAATTTTGTCCTTTTAAAATGTACTTGTTTTTATACCTATCTATACACACATACATATGTATGTAACTTTAAATTTAAAAAAAATGCATCTTTAAGTATCTGCCTTATGTTTGAATAAAACAGGTTTTATAAGCCACCCAGGCCTATTTGATACTAGGCCTTGAGATTACTGGATCAAGTGGCAAAGGTGAAGTGTACAGATTTAATACAAAGTAGAAACAGTTAAAGTGGAAGAAACCAAAATGTTCTCTAGTGTGTAAACAATGGCATGAAGAAATCATTTGTGTGGGTGCTAGCAGTGAAGTCTTAACAAGTTTTCTTGGGGAAAACTGCAGTACTAATTGCTGAAATTTAAAAATTATGAAATTTAAAAATTACTGATGAATAAAAATGAGAAATACAGATAGGCACCATCCTAAAATAGCATTACCTTTAATAAAAAGTGTAATCTTTACTTGCAAAAGTAGTTCTCCATTGGTTAAATAGTTGTCTTTTTTTAAGTTTCAGCATTTATAATAATACACTTTTTTGTGATTAACATATAGACAAGTATTTGAAATTTGGTTCATTCCTTTGTTAAACTATTTTGATATTCTGCCTGTGTATAACCACAAATTAGAAGCCACTGGTCAAAAACTTAAAAGTGGCAATCAGGGACTGAACAGGCCAGATTTGGGAAATTTTGTATATCAGATATAAACACATGGAACAGGATAATTTCTCCATATATTGGCTTCCTCATATGCAACAAGGGATAACAAAATGATATTTAAGGATTCATCTAGCTGAAAGATTTTTTAATTATCCAAAGTAGACTAGCCCTAATGTTTCAAAAAGAAATCCAGCCTTTTTTTTTTATAACTTGGCTAATTGGGTGTATTAGACAATTAGGACAAAATCAGCAAAGGGCTGCTAACATGTCATCAGGATATCTGAGGTCAGCAGGCATTTAATTCGGAAAGCCCCTTGGAAGCCTGTGCCTAATCCATCAGCTCTAGGTAGACAGACTTGGCCTGAATCAAGCAGGGCTTTGAGGAAGCTGTGAAGCAAATAAAGATATTAAACAGCAGAATTTGGACAGAAGGGAAACTGTGTTGCATGCATTCTTAAATGTGTTATATGTTTGTAACAATAAAAACATTTGACATTAATTTTAAATTGCATAATTATTTAAATAATTGGTCAATCCAATATGAATGCTTTAAAATGTATCTTTTTACTTTACTGGCTTTTCTTCTCCAAATACAAAAAAGAAAAATATTTCTCAAATAAGTGAAAACAATTACAACTGTAGTGTTCCTACATTGCTGTATTCAGTTGTGTTAAAATTTATGGTATTATTGAAAACACAAAAATAGAGCTATGTATTTTTGTAAAGTAATAAGGAATATTAATTCAACAGGATTATGAATAACCTTGCTTCCTGAGGCAAAATTCCAGTCCCTGTGTTGCTTTTTTTGAACAGAAAAGTAAAGAAAAACGCTGTAATTATTGAACATGCAGTGAAAGCTACGAAGGAAAAAGGTGTACACTTAGAAACAAGCAATTTTGAATGCAAGCCATTAATAGGTAATTTTTGAAGGAATATTTAGCATACTTCATGTATATTTGTACACTCAAAGTCCTTCTGAATATGCTGATAGGTAGTACCAATATAAGAACTGTCTTTGCATTTCCCTTATATATTTTATATCAAGGGAGTTGAATCAATTTATACCTAATTTCCCCCCAAATAATAGATATTACATACATTTTAGTATCTTACATTTGTGAGCTGCAAATAGGCTAGAATGTTTTATATGCTTTTAAAATATATGCAACTTCCTTATTCTTTCCTTCTATCACACTAAAGAAAAGAACCAAAATCAAAATCTTTGGCCCCTGTAAGTGAGCCATACACACAGCTTCAAACATGGCAGACTATGTTGTAGTTATTAATCCTGAAGTTGAACTAAACCACCTCTTCTCGATTTCTCTTTCCCAAACAGCTTGCCTATAAGTTACATTATTAGTACTTTAATATCAGGCATTCTAAATTCATTAATTCATGAACATCTACCTTGTTGCGAGCCCATCCTTTTCACTGGACCCAAAATAAAAAAAGGTTACCTTGATATCTATGGGACTGAATTAAAAGGCTGTGAGCTCCTTGCATAAGGCACTACAGTGTTGTGCTTTGTTTTAAGAGGTACATCAATTATGCATAGCACAGAATATGTAATCAATAAGTATTTATATATATTTAAGTAGATAATAAGGAGATAAGGCTCTAGGTTTTGTGGTAATACAGGTAAGAAATAATGAAAACCCTAACTAAGAAATAAATAGTAGAGAGGGGACCCACTGATAAGATATAAAAGAATTAGAATTGACAGGCCTCGGTAAGCAATTAAATGGTTCTCATATTGTGGTTTTCCCCCCACCACTGATATACCTTAAAACAAATGTGTATGCATTTAAGTGTGTAGTTAATATACACACTTTCATATGTACACATCTTTCTACAGTGCATAGATCTTGGCAGAACATGGCCAAGCAACTTCATTATCTAAAAGAAAAATTACATGGAAATATGAATCAGTCATTTCATAAATAGCACAAACAAAATATTTGTGAACTATTATGATATTAGAAACCAAATCTGGACAAATGATTCCCATGGTTCATTTTAGTCCAGGGGGAGGTATAGTGTTAATAAAGGTTTTATTAAATATTTGGTTATTTGACTTGCATTTGTGAAGAATGAGTGGAATTTTTAAGTGGATAACAAAGGAAATGGGGCATTTTAATTTTAATGGAAATAAAACTAGTGAGACAAAAATTAATACAAATTATTAATAGAGCTTAGGAGGAAATTTAAAGGGATCAAGAGTGACAGTGGAACTGGAGATGGGCTGTAATGTGATCTAAGTGTAGTTCTGTTTTGAGTATTTTCAACGGAATTGGTAGAATTCAATGACTCTGATGCGAATGAGGAGCAGGAGAAGTATTTCCAGATTCTGTGGCTGGTGACAAGTCAAGACCATCAGATGTGAGAAAATTTTAGAAAGAGTTAACATTTTTCTATGAAAAAAATGTAAGGGGAGATAAGGAATTTGATTTAAACTTTGGTATACACAGGGTCGGCAACCATTTATCAATTTAGGCCTAAAACTCAAGGTGAAGGGCTGGCCTGGCCAATGGCAGTGGAGTATTATCTTCATATGCACTGGAGTGGAAACTTTTAATAGAAATATAACACCAAGGATAGAATTACTGGGACAAAAGAGAAAAACTGAGTATGGAGCTAAAAAAATACATAACTTTATAAGATAGGAGAGGAGGAGATACTTGCAAAAGTAGACTGTGTTAAAACAGAGGCATACGAAAATCTGTAGAGGGTGCTTAATGAGAGGAGAAGTTCAAATGACAGGGTGGTAATGCAAAATGCTGCAAGATGCTGCTGGACAACTAAGAAGCAGATGTAATCTAGAGAGGGATTTCAGCACACTGGCTGAGGGGGAAGGGGCAGGAGTCAGACTGTAGGATTACTGGGAGGTAAAAAAGGGAGGTAGTAAATATAGACTACCCTTTGATGAGACTTTATAAGGCTATGGTTTTTATGAAAAATCAAGGAAGAAAATGAAATATCTGAGAAATGGAACTGTTCTCCAGTGACTCTAAAAATCAGTGTCCCTGGACACTTAAGCAGTGATTTGTTTCAAAACCTGGGGAAGGTTAATACACACCAGTAACTTACTCCTTCCCAATCAGGGAAAAAGGGAGAATGAATGACCTCAGACAGACCTTGATAAAGATAAAAGGGAAGACTAGGGACCAGACCTTGTAAACATGCAGTGTTATTTGCTAGTGAAAAGATAAAGGAGTGTCCTTACTTATTATAAGTCTTCAGTAGGATATAACTAGTCTTTCTAGATCTTTTATGGTAAATAAACTCAACATTTCTTGATTTATGGGTCATGACTGAATTGGGGAATGGGATAATCCACAGTAATTTTGTTATTTGTGTACTCAACAGAATATAAAATGGAGGCACTCAAAAACGGAAACAGTGCCTCTACATGCATTATTCGAAATGCATCTGTTAACCTGGGCCACACCAACCTAACAGGGGAGAAAAGGTGGCTCTGAAGGA